ATGCCTTCTTTCTTTGCGTGCACATTTGGGCGGTGTTATGCAAATCTTCCCAGATCGTGACGTAGGTATGTGGGGGCGTGTTAGAACGAGCCGTTTTAGGTAGGCGTGGTTAACTCTTAACCTTTATAAAGAATATCTCTTTGGTTTTGAGACTTTAGTGTTTGCAACTTTACAGATCTTCTTTATGCACCAAGAGCTTGTAACACTCCAAAGAGAAAGGAAAAATTTTAATCGCATCATATGACCCCTTTAAGGTTATCATCAGTTTCCTCTAGTTAAAGATTAAGACTGTTTACCTTACAGAAATATTGGTCCAGAAGCAAATAAAAGTTGTTGATCCAGGAAAATGTTCTGCATGGAAAAGTCATAATAATATTAGAAGTGATTTATTAAAAGAACTTTGTACTTTCATTGCAGTGTTATGTGATGTTGTTTTTGTTGTTATCTAATTAAATCATCTCATATTTAGATCCCGCATATTTATTTATTATTGTATTTAACAACAGCAAACCCAGAGAGTCACTATGCTAACATGTAAATCTAAAACTCTGATCTAGATATAATATAGGGCCTATGATACGCATAGGAAACCCAATTCTGTTTTGTATGCATTTACTCACCCTCATGTTGCTCCAGACCCATATATATGATTTACTTTCTTCTGTGGAACACAAAATATGTTTAGCAGAATGTTCAAGCTGCTCCTTTTCAATAAAAACGCCACTGGTTACGTGACTAACAACTGCCATGGTTCAGAACTGAAAAAAGGTTCAGTACATTACTTTCTGAAGGCATGTGTGAGGAACACACCGACATTTAAGTCTTAAAATCTCCTGAATCTCCTAGCGCGTTGTTGTAAACATATATCAAACAAATTAGCTGTGAGCAAAGTGACATTTCTGATTAAACAAACTCTGATTTGAGATTTTGAATAACACTCATGACTGTTTTGATTCATCTCGGTGACTCGACTCGCTTTCGAATCTGTTCACTGAGGAAATTCGTTCAGAATCCTTCACTGATTCGTTAAGTGATTCCTTCTGCAGGTTATGTCGTTACGACAGTTGAGTTCAGTTGGTTCACTAATGAGATGATTCATTCAATGGCGCGCGCGCTAGTAAAAGGGGGCGTATCCGCTCAGTATGTTCAACCAATAAAATTATGGTTTCGCAGCCCGAACTTAAATGCTATTGGTTCGCGCTATTGTCAGTCTTCGAAGGTTGGAAAGCACTAACAAGCTTTCCAGAGAAATAAGTTAGCGAAAAAGACTTTTCCTGACCACAGGGGGAGACACAGCACGTTTACTAAATGTTATTTTTTTCTCAAATATATGTCTATATTTCTATGTACTTTATGTTTTCTTGTTTTATTTCTTTTCTTGTTTAATTATTGTCCACAAGACTGTACAGACTAATATAATGTATAATTATTATACATTAATAATATTCTTTTGGTTTAATTTAGTTTTTACACATTTTTATAAATTATTAGATGATGGCAAGCTTTTCTCTCTATTAGTCAAACTCATTTCACAGAATAACGAGTCAAACTGTGAAACTGAATGTTAAACTCATATTTGCATTTGTGATTGTGTTCCTCTGAGAATAGAGAAGATGTTGTTCCATCATGTACGGTATATGCAGGTGTTTTCATGGTCCACTGACTTAAGTTTATTTATAATACGTGAGCTAAACCCCTGATTCAATGAAAGACCTGAAACAAGAATGACAAAAAAGGGACACAAAGTCACAATTATATTTTATTTAATGACTGAATTTTAATCAAATCACACATACAGGCTTGTATGAAGCACACAAAGCAGAGCAGATGCAGATGCGAGCGACTGAAGCTGGATGTGGAGAATGAAGGAGTCGCTCATGTGCTGTTAGTCTCCATGTGAGACATGAGTGAGAAGAGCAGCAGATCTACTCTGAACACTGCTGTCTCGTCACGTGTCCAGTGAGCGCAGGCTGGCCGCTCCGTGTGGCCTCACAGCTCACTGAGACGCTCTCCATCCACTCCTGCTCAGAGAGAGTCAGGCTGCTGCTCCAGCTGTACAGACCGTCCTTCTCCAGGAGCCCAGCGCTGCTCTCCTGAGACCTGCTGCTCCCGTCCACCTTCCAGCTCAGGCTCCAGTCTGACGGGAAGCCCTTGCTGGCCACACACACCAGTGTCGCTGTCTTCTTTGAGGAGATCTCTGCACTGGAGGGCGGCAGGACGCTCACTTTAGGACGAGTGACGCCTGAGAGAAGCACAGAGAAATCAGAGTCACCAGTGTTTTCCTTTATGTGTTAAAGATAAAAATAGGAGAAATTCTCCAAGCAGAAGAACAAAATGAACAACATGCTCAATGAAGCAGATAAAACTGAAATAAAAAAATTCAATTAACACTGATGTTCACAAATTTCTTCACATGAAAAGAGAACATGAGAAAAAGGGAATTACAAAATGAATTAAAACGGAAATATCATTGAGTTTTGAACTGCCACAAAAACTTGTGGCTGTTGCATGTAAATTTAACATCTTTAAAACTCTCAAAGTAAGCAAAATATAATTTTATTAAACAAAAATGATCAAATGAATTTTTTGTTTAAGAAGCTGACGAAGATTTAAAATTAGGAAACAAACTTAAAAACTCACAAAAAAATAGTCATTGTGCATCAATTTTACAAACAATAACTTGTTTAAAAAAAGTCTAAAAGAAATAGCAAATTCAAAAATGTTTCTGCCTCAGAGTAAAAAAAAAGTAAATGTATGAAAAACTTAAAAAAATAAAATGCATCCTTTCTTAACATAGAAAGTCACAATTGTGGGATATTAAGATGCAATTACTTTTTTAAATGATAATTTATTGATTTACTTACTGCCAACATCCAGTTTGGTGCCGCTGCCGAAAGTCCTCCACAGTGATAGAAACTAATAGAGCAGCTGAACAAAAACCTCCTGAACGCTTCACTAACTGCACAAACACACATCAACTGAGTCTCCAACAAACACATCCACTCACAGCAGACATTACCTTCAGTTACTTCATCTGCTTTATGCAGTCTGTGTTATTACTAAAGCATGAAACGGAATTTATAAAGAGTTAATTTGTATATATATAGTGTGACGGGACTCACAATCAAACTCAGTTGATTCAGTGATTGACAGAGACACATGTGTGATAATCCTCGTGTCTGTTAAAAACCTGCAGGAACATCCATGGGTTTAGCATAAAATTTGGGATTAACAGTGACGTGTCAATCCAACTAGAGTAAAACATATTATCAAAGTCTCACGGGAAAGAATCAGGTTAATATACTAAAGTTGGTCTTGAAGATGTATTGAGAATTAAATTGAATGATTCAGTTTTTAATAGTTTGGCTAAACAGAAGATTGACTGATTTTTTACTAGATGTTCTCACTTCAGGAATTGTTTTTTATTACAGGCCTATGACTGAGACTGAGTGACTGTCTTGAGGTAAATGATCTGGAGAGTGTTTGCATATTGATCAGATGCTTCAGTGCTCTGAGAGTGTTTATAGTGCTGTGAGTTTAACACTTCATCACTGACACACACAACAATCTTCATCAACATGACCTTCATCATCATCTTCATCTGGACTCTCACAGCGTTTGCTCAAGGTTTGTGGAGCACAAGTTTGATATGAATTCATTTCTTCAAGTATATTGTCAGAGTTTTGAGTTGATTTTCTTCTTGTTGTGTGTTTCAGAGAGTAGAGGACAGATCAGCGTCACTCAGAGTCCCTCAACGACAGCAGCTCAACCAGAAGAAACTGTCAAAATCAACTGTAGAACCAGCAGAGATGTGCACAGACGGAGTGATGGGGATGAAGAGTTAGCCTGGTACTTACAGAAACCTGGAGAAGCTCCTAAACTCCTGATTTATTTAGCAAAAAAACTTTACACCGGAACGCCATCTAGATTCAGTGGCAGTGGATCTAAGACTGATTTCACTCTGACCATCAGTGGAGTCCAGACTGAAGATGCTGGACATTATTACTGTCAGAGTGTACACTATATCAGTAGTAGCTGGGTGTTCACACAGTGATAAAGAGTCGTACAAAAACCTCCGTCAGTCAGAGTCACAGTGATGAACTGATGCTGCAGCTGCTCAAACACTATCACTCACTCAACAGTGAAGAAACACAAATATGATCTTAATATCAATTTTGTTGAGGTCCATCATTATGTTTTTTATCAATTATTTGGATATAATTATCTTTTTTTCCCAGAACTTTTATGGAGTATCTCTTCGACTCTCAACTCACTCATTTTTCAATCCATGACATTTTTTATTATGTATTTTTCTAATGCATAAATTCTTTCTTATAGCCAATTATACATTCATATTGCAAAGAGCATCAGCAGGACATAAAGGTGTTGCTGCTTGAATAGTTTATTCATCATCTTACAGCAAAAAGTCTCCATTCTTCATTACAGTTCAAGTTCATACATGAGCTACTGTATATAAATCTTATAAAACTACCACTCAATCTTCATAACTGTCTCATCACTCCATGAGCAGAAGTGAAACTGTTCCAGTTCAGAGCGTTGAACCGATCGCTTTGCTGAGGCTCAGGACGCTGCTGCGGCTGTAGCGTCCGTCCCGCTCGCTCTCTGCGCTGGTCTGAACCCCCTCGGTGACCTCTGACCCGTCCAGCGTCCAGCTCACCTGCGCCCCCTGTGGAGAGTAAGAGCTGAGCAGGCAGAGCAGTGCGGCTGAGTCTCCAGAGATCTGCAGAGAAGAGGGAGGCAGCAGAGACACGGAGGGCTTCACTGCGGGACCAGCTGAAACACACAAACACACACAACACTCACTTCTTCACATCTGCAGCTACAATCTTCACTGGAGCAGATGTGATAATGCAGCCAAAATCACAATCACTTCATCATTTTACTGTAATTCCACATCTCTGATTTCATTCATGTTCCACAAACATCCTGAGTTATGTTTGAAAATATTCTTCATTAGCTAAATTATTATTTACTCTTATAAACTGGAGACTGTAAAAAATGATTGTAATTTTAATGGTAAAAGACTGTAAAAGTGCTACAGTAAAAACTTGTTAATTGGTTAACAGTAAGTTCTCTACTATATACGATGGAAAAACTATAATAAATCTAACAGGATGTTTCTGTAATTTTACAGTAAAATACTGTTAAAGTTTTTGGAAGTAAAAAGGAACAAGTCTGGCAAACACAGCTGCCATTTTTACTGTAAATTTTACATATTTATTTATTACAGCGTATCAAGCATAAGATCCTGTACACTGTATAACTATATATATCACTAGCAAACATGATATACTGTAAAGTGTATGCAAATTTGTTACTTTCTCAATTAAGTAAAATGTTTAAACTGATTTTATAAAATATCTCTCTCCAAATGCAAACTGATAATTTTGTTGCAATGTTTTATAATTGATTATTTCAATATATTATTTGTATTTTGAAAATAGTCATCGTTCAGGCCATTTTTTTTATAAACATAATTTTAAGTAAATTTAATAGTTTAAATTATTTATTTTAACATGCATATCAACTGAATTTCTTTTTAGCCTGATGATGACACCCATGAAATTAAATATTCTGTCTATATTATCCAGCTTTTGTGTCATGCGCAAAATGAAATATATTAAAATATTGTAATTAATTAAAAAATATTGAAAAGTTAACATTAGGTGTGAAATTACTAATGTAAAACATTAAGTGCAAATATGAACTATGGTTTGAAATGTGAAAAAACATGGAATATCACCAAATATGACTTATTCATAATATAGTCATTTTTGATTGTGCAATCAATCAATAAAATAGACTGAAACTTATGAAATAAAAGTACAGCTTTTTAATAATATATTTTTGTAATCAATTAAGAATATTGTTGCCAAATATTCCTAAGTAACCTTAAACCTTGTTTTTAAAAAAACACACACATTATATATTTATATCAAATAATTTAAGAAAGACTTACTTCTGATGGTCAGTTTAGTTCCTCCACCAAAAGTGTAGCACAGTGCTTCATTCTAGTGAAAGTGTCGTACAAAAACCTCCGTCACACTCAAATGAACACAAACTCCAGCAGAGCAAGAGAGAACGACACTCACACACACTGATATGAGACTCAACAGCAGCTCTTCTCAACAGCAGACATGGATTTAATTTTTTTAATCTTTAAAAAAAAAAACAGTATTATTGCATGAAGGCTGAAATCATTTGTTTCATAAACAGTCCTAAAATACATTCATTGCATTTTCGGTACACATGTGATTTTAAACTCTGCTAATTCTACTTACCTGCTTTATAATGAAATCTTTAGCTAGATTTAGATGGTCATTCTCTATTAGATGACCTTTGACCTGTTATACAGTATCATAGATGATATCAAATCTGCACAACAGATATTAAATGCTCTCAGCATCAAAGTCTGAATGAAACATTAAACAGTGTTTGGAGGGAGAAGCTTGACCCAAAATAACATGAAGCAAATTATAAATGCCTGTTTCTGAAAACATTAAATGGAAATGTATTAGCAAAGATACTGAACAAATAAAATGGCAAAACTGTGTATCTCTACTGTCTTCAGGTAAATGATGCGGAGTGTGTTTGCATATTGATCAGATGCTTCAGTGCTCTGAGAGTGTTTATAGTGCTGTGAGTTTAACACTTCATCACTGACACACACAACAATCTTCATCAACATGACCTTCATCATCATCTTCATCTGGACACTTTCATACTGCTTTATACTACAAGGTGAATAGTGTATATTTGAAATAATATTAATGAAATAATTGTATTATATGTCAAATAATATATTTTTATGGACTAATAAATGTTTGTTTCTCAGGGTGTAAAGCTCAGATCACAGTCACTCAGACTCCTTCAGTGAAAACTGTCACACCACGAGAAAATGTAGAGATGAGCTGTAAGTTTAGTTCTGCTCCAAGCTGCAGCCTACCCTGTGTGTCCTGGTACTTACAGAAACCTGGAGAAGCTCCTAAACTCCTGATTTATAGAACAAGCAGCCGTCAGTCAGGAACTCCATCTAGATTCAGTGGCAGTGGATCTGGGACTGATTTTACTCTGACCATCAGTGGAGTCCAGACTGAAGATGCTGGACATTATTACTGTCAGAGTTACCACAGCAGTGGCAATGTGTTCACACAGTGATAAAGAGTGGTACAAAAACCTCCGTCAGTCAGTCACAGTGACTGAACTGATGCTGCAGCTGCTCAAACACTATCACACACTCAACTATGTAGATTTTCATACCAATTTTATAAAATATAAATAATTGATTGAGTTTTCTAGTTGCTAAATTCATTAATTTAACAAATTTATCTTGTTAAATTCATCTAACACTATATCCGTGAGGTTCATAATGTGGCCGCATGTTCGTTTCATCATGTATCTGCAGGTGTTTTCATGGTTCACTGAGTGAAGTTTCTATTTCTTTTTTAAATGTGAGTTAAAGCCCTGATCCAAAGAAAGACCCGAAACAAAAATGACCAAAAAAAAAAAATAACACAAAGACATTAAGTTACAATTGTATTTTATTTATTGAGCAAATTTTAATAGAATCACGACAGAATGATAAAGCACACATATAGTCTTGTATGAAGCACACAA